ATTTGCTCCACGGTGGACCTAGGAGTCACCACCCGCAAAGGGTACGATGGTGCAGACTCATAGCATAAGACACCATCCCTAGAAATAAGATTATTCCTGACAGACCATAGTACTCGTGCTTCTTATGCACTACAGCTACTTTTTGATAGCTAGGCGTAAACACCACTGTTGCCGACTATATTCGCTCGCGCACCTGTCGAGGCAGTCTAATCCCAATATACTATCGTATGGCATGTCCAGGCATGAAGGTTCAGACCTCCCGCGATAGTGAGCGAGACATCAACACACCCCTTATTACGCATCACCGTACCGTTCGCGGCTTTAACACTAATCGACGACTCCACCTGGTATGTTTCAAACGATTGCTGAGGAAATAGTCATGGGTTGACCAGGGAGCATCCAACACACGTACCAACTAGAAAGTGCGTTAACCTATTGCATAGACCTATGGATATGAAGGATCGGGTATCAGCACATGACGCATGATTGCATATGGAGGTGTCCATCTCTGCAATCGCATATAATGCAATCAGAAATGCTATTTGTAAGAATCTGTCAGTGTGGAACATCTGGGAGGTAAATGATTGGTCGCGGCAGTTATTTTGGTCGGAATGCAGATGTCAACCAACTCTCGTTTATTGAAGAAAGTGCAAGTGTGTAAGGACGATTTAAATATCAAAACGAACGTATGTTAAAACATCACGAGGACAGTAAACGAGGCGAGTCGTTGGTATAAAAGTGTTCTAGAATCCCATTGGTCTTCCAATAAGACATTTGGCAGAATGGGCGGCAGCAAGTTAGACAGGAAAGACGCAGTTTCATTGCATACAGGGTGTATGGATTGAAGGGCATTGTCTTGACTTGTTAAGAGTGAGGTAACTGAAGATATCCAAAGGCTTAGACATCGTTGACACTGAAATTGCGGAATAAGAAGCATCAAGTTGATAATGGCTGTGGAAGTCACTGAAGTGATTGCCTCTTTGCTTTATTTCGACGATGCCAAAACCAATCCCTCACCTACAATGAATTTCAAACAGAGATCAATCCACGCTTCTTCATTATCGTCTGCCGAATTCCAATTTTGTGCGATCCTTCTAATTCCGTTGCCACAATGGTGTTTTCCACGTACAAATGTATCTGTTTGACCCACTACCCTTATCAATGGCACCCTCAACCACTACACGAACGCGATTTAGCAAACATCCAGCCATCGAATTGACACGGTAAGCCTAGCCGCAAATTGACTGTCTGTCGCCAAATGCTTTGTTTGATGTGTTACAGGTGAGCTAACTCAAACAACAAATAACGATAATACCCGTACAGTTTTTTTTTGATTTTATGTTTGTGACTCAGCTGCACGAATCCTCCCCATGCCTCATCCACTGACAAATTAACATTCCGGTATTTTGAATCCCCACACGCGCACACGGACACCTCTTAGTCTGTAGCATTCTCCTAACTGCACAGACCATTTATTCAGCCAACCAGTCTGTTGCGCGACTACAGGCTCATTCAAGCAGACATGGTGAACCAAGTCGCTGTTCACCAAGGACATTAATGCAGAGTGAATGCAGTCGTATGCTAGACGCTCGTCGTAGTGCTACGGGGTATCCGGACGGCGTGTGCTTTGAGATACCACATTTAAAACTTGACTATCGGCTCAAAATGTTTATCATATCGGTTCAACGATTTATTTGCCGAGGCCAAACAACTGTTTTGTAACTAGCACTTGTAATCATGAATGCCCTGGTTCGACTAAAATTTTACGCAAACACCTTACCTGCCTAGCAGTGAGACCCAAGCGTCCACCTAGTTCGACGCATTCGCTTAGAGAGATATTGGTATTTGTAATAAACCGATTTTCCAGCTCCCGAATTTGCTCCTCTGAAAAACGCGCATATTTTCGTTTCCACGTTCCAGGTATCGATGTCGACTCGGTGCTGCAGTCGTCGATGGAGATGTGACCTGAAGAGTTTGAGGCATCCTGGGTGCCACATTTCGCGGTATGATCCTGATTTTCCGACTCCATTTGCTTGCACTCATGCACTGTAACTTCTTGGAAAGTCGTTCGATGTGTCTGTGTATGGGTTCCTAGTGGTTGCAGTAGGTTGGGAAAGAGGAGGTTTGCATTTGTGTCGGATGAATTGGGTTGGGTGTTGGATGGTGTCCCGTGAAGACAAGCTAAAAAAGGAAGATGGTAATTCATGTGTGAGCCACGTCCACACTTTTTACTGTTTCAGTAGATTCAAGATAAGCCCAGCTTAGGCGATGAACTCAAAAGAGCTTCTCGGTGATACCGCAAACGCACGTCCATTTATGATGGGCCAAATATGCTGTGAAAGGCTGTTAGTACTTCTGTTGCTTGCAGGCCAACAACTACAGACAATCCACGATATGTAACGTTTAGGATAATGCGTTGTGGAAATTGCAGCCGAAATTAACATCCAACGTACGCAAACAATGGAAGATTTAGCGTGGTTCATCAATAAATTGCATTTCATGTCAAGAACATAATGCGCTTAAGATTTAGATCGGATCAATTTGAAATGATAGGCTACATTTAAAAACATACAATTATTGGAGGCAGATCAGTGATTTTTTTGGCGAAACACGATTCCAGTGTTATAAAGCAGAGTTTAAGTTAAGTGACTGCTACGTAAATTTTGTGTGAGGTACTATATGAATCATCCTGCAGAAAGCAAAATTTACTCGATGAAGCTTCACAAGTAGTAGCTGGAGGAGGTTTGGGTCGAACACTCAGGTCAAGTGGTTCGATTTGTTCCTCGCCGTACTGCTCACTGTCAAGCGTGTTCCCTATCGTCCCGTCGCCAGACGACTTAGAGTGAGTTTGAGGCGACGCAACACACTCTCTGTGCCGTCTACGTGGAGGCTGAACCTGAGATTCACTACCGTCCGTGGCGATGTGTTTGCTAAATTCACCAGATTGAGAAGAAGACATCTACGGTCTTTTGTACCTCGACCTATTTGGCTTCTGCTGCAATGAACCAGATCCAGATTGTGTTATTGGCGATTCCACAATGCATAGTGTGCGTGATCAGACAGCACTTGTGTGATAATAGATTGAACGCACATTACAAACAAAGGCCGACCTTTGCTGCTCTAACGCCCCTACACAAGCAACTAAGCATTCAGTAACACAGCTTTGAAGTGCATCAATTTTAATGAGATCAGCTGATTCATTGGTGCTGGAGCACAGCACTGATAGTGTAAACTCATGTTTAACACCTAAGACGCGTCTTTGGCGCATGAAATTAGCATCCATTTGTGGCGGAATCTGCATTTACACAAGCTCTGTCAAATACAACTACAACAGCACACGATTTTGCTTTGTACAACCTTACGCAGCATAAGGACAACACATGGCACTTTTGAAGCAAAAACATCTGATGGCATGACTGCAAAACCTGCTAACCTATTTGGTGGTTAAATTAATTTAATAGGAATTCATTTCAGCCACTTACTGCTGCTGGTTGCGAATGCAATTGGCAGGTCCAGTATCGTAGTAGATCGCGTAGGTGGCCTCGTATTGCTGTGCTGCTGCCACTAAATCGCCTTTTGCACAATTGAGCCAGG